TAATTTATGTGAAATGACTAAAAAACCCTATGTCTCTCACTTGTTTAATATACACCAAGATGCAGGCTAGGGAATGAACCTTATTTGCAAAGAAATATAGTGTATATAATTATATTGGGAGTGGGCAATGGGCAAACAATATGCGGCTGGGTGTGAAGTTGAGTGACTACACAGCAGTTGTTTCGTACTTTCCCCAGACCAGTAACAGGCCCACACAAATATATGCCTGTGATAAATATCTATGTAGGTGGTGATGAGCCAGTTCATTACTTTCATTAGAATTATATGTGTTTTGCTGGGCAGCTGACTCACTGCAACAATAAAGTAATATATTAGAGTGCATTCAGATGAAATATGAGAGAAGTCTCAGGGAGGCTGCACGCTTATGGCCCCATGAAACTCTGGTATAACACTGAATCAGTGAAGTTTCATGAAAGATTAAGTCAGTTCTTGGAGCCTGGAACAGAAACCAGCCTTGTCTGCTGGCCTCTGGAAGCTCCACAGCCTGCTGGGCTCTGCAGCCATGATGGATGGTCTCTGTTAATAACTATGGCTACGTCTACACAGTGCAGCTATTTCGGGATACCTCCAGTATCCCAAAATAGCTATAAACGCGCTCATTATTTTGAAATGTATTTCGAAATAACGGGCATGCTATTCCGGCATCCCTGTAACCCTCATTCAATGAGGGTTAAGGGATTTGTTGAAACAGTGCTTTATTTCAAAATTTGGTGCTGTATATTTCGAAATAAGCTATTTTGAAATAATCTCGAAATAAGCTACACAATTTGTGTAGCACAAATTGCATAGCTTATTTCAAAGTAAGGGTGCTGTGTAGACGCACCTCATCTGAATAATCATAATGTAGCCTCATGCTCCTTGTTCCCAGGTGCAGACATAAACAGAAGTGGGATGTTGTTTCAGAAGTATTTGGGGGGTAGGAGAGAGACGGCAATATTGTGTCAGCAGATAGAACAGTCTCTGTACCAAACAGCCTCACAAATGAGGAAAAACTAGGTAATTACTGTTTTTCTAAAGACTGAATCCAAAGCCTGGGACAGGCAAAAAGTGGACAATATAATGGAGTATACAGATCTATGAAAAGGCTGGGGAGCAGCTGAGCAAACCAAGGTAATAGGGGGGCAACTGCCTCCCTTCCCCATAGCAAATAAGGCCTCTAGATACAACTCAATTCCGTTACTAGCGTTAAAAGCACTGAATGGCTTAGTAACTCCTGCAAGCGTACGTAGAGAGACAGAGACAGAGGAGAATCTGAATGTGAGAAGTGGGGGATCTAATTTACTGGAATTCTTTTCTGCTGGCCAGCTTTGCAGGCCAGTCTTAAGAAGTTTTCTTGGGCTGACCTATCCACCGAAAGGATATTTTTGGCTGCATCTGCTCTTTAGAGTATACTGCACAAATCAGAAAAATTACATCTGGCAAAGCCTTATTATTTCATTTAATCTGTCTGCCTGGCGCTGCAGGATTGTCCACTAGAGTATGTTTTTGAAGTGTTTATAATATAAGCGAGAGCTGGCTTTCAAAAAGAAAAAGAAATTTAGTTTAAAATTGTCCTTGGTTTGTATGACAAATGTTACAATTCAAAAATATTTGACCTGTCCAGTATAATCTGCGTATCCATACCTACAAAGACAGTTCCATATACTGTGGTTCTTTACCATGGAGTATATAGAAAGAGGGTTCTAAAGCTTCTACATGGGAAAATATATTTTAGAAGTTGCAACATAGTTGTGTGATGGAGCATCATAATGGCATTGAATCTTCCCATTGTGGTATCATAATGTAGCATCACACATTTGTTTGGTGCTACAGTATCCTAACGTGGCAATATAGTTATTTAATATTTACACTGCAGTCGCATCTAGAGGCTGCTGTCTAGATGTACAGAAATACATGAAGGTGCAGTACCTGGTCTGAAGAGTTTATAAGCTACAATTATAGAACAGCTTTTGGTGCAGCTCTGGAGGCCTGGGGCACAATCCAGTCTAGGCATATAAAAGGTGCAAGTGCCCCCCAGCACAATTTCATTCATTTCCAATGTACTGTTCTGACAGCTGGAAACCACCTGACCAAATCAGCAGTTCAGCTATGTCCCTATTAATGAAAGACTGATTGATGGAGACCCTTGGTCTGCCACCTCCCAGGACCAATCACAGGAAGACAGTCATTTTCACTTTCTCCTGATATCTCTGGTTCAAAGACTATTTATTTATACACAGTGGACCAGTTGCAACTGGAGAGACAAAGGGATCCCACTGTGCCTCCCACAACAGAATATCCCATACCTCCGTGGTTAATACACTCTCCTGAGAGGTGGGAGACCCCTCTTCAAATCTTTTCTCCCTCTCTGTAAGAGTGTGGAAAATTGAACCTGGTTCTCCCATGGTGCAGGTCAATGCTCTAACCCCGGGACTAAAAGTTATAAGGTGGATTCTGCCACTGCTGCCACATTAGGAACGGGACTTCATCTGGTAGGTGGTTTCTAAGCATGCCTGTCAGATTGGGCCTCCCAAGGTCTATGCATAATTTTTTCAGGCCCACTACAAATTTGTAACGTGGAACCCCTCTCACATACATACCACAATTTGCAGCCTGGGCTGGGCCCCACGGAATCTACGGGCCCCGCTGACATGTGTACTCCCTCCTCCCCCATTCCCTTCCATCCCCAAAAGAGACATGTCCCATTCTGGGCCCAATGTATGGGCATTTGAACACATAGAATCAGGGAGCTGTGCAGATGCTAGACACACCCATGGAACTTTAATCCTGAAAACGTAAGAGCTGAGTGAGTTTAGGTGGTTTACAATGGGACTTAAGTGCTTAACTCTGGGATTTAGGCACCAACATATCTTTGCAGTTATGAGCCAAGTGCTTTTTCAGACATCATGAACCTATATATTTTTACAGCAGGTTTAACTCAAATAATTAACTGAGTTCTTTTGGCACCACATTTCACCCCCATCACATTTACCTGTTCAGAGCTGCCTGGCAAGGAAACCGAGTATAAAAATTGACAGTAGTTGCTAGTATTAATTTCTCTACCACATCTGGTATTGCTTAATGTTATGCATAGTCTCTTAGCGGAGTCATTTTCCTTTCTACATTACCAAATGAAACATATTGCTTATAATTTGTTTCCACTCCCTTTCATCTTTTCTGCTTTTTAAAAAAAATTAAAACATGGAGAAAAATAATTAAAAAAAACCTTTTTTTTTTCTTTCTAAGTTTCTGTAACAAGCAGTTTAATATGAAAACCAAACTGGTAGGGAGAAGGGGGATATATTTTGTCATGGTTTTGCCAAAATCATGTTTTTCCTTATGAAAAACCAATAATCATCAAATACTGGATATAACTCAGACAGTTAGGAAACAAAATACTGTCAGGGGCATGCCTCAATGTTCTGACAACTTTACAGACCAATTCAACTTTGTTGTGGCTTTCAACATATTGTTAAAGAATTGTGGCCCCTATGTGCATAGCCTTTCAGTATGAGAACTAAGGGACTGATTCAGGAAAGAAACCCTATTGGAATGGGAACTAAGGCATGTGCTTAACTTTAAGCATCTTATTAAGTCACGTTGACATCAGATGGACTTAAGCGTATGTGTATATGCTATCCTGAATAGGGATTGACTTGCATATGTTTATGTGCCTTCCTAAATCAAAGCCTAAAGGTATCAGTTCTGTCAATGTAAACACTTGAGTAACATCTGTCCCATCTAGTGGCTCCGAGACCATTTACAGAGAGAATGAGTCTGCTCTATAGTACTAGCAACCATCCTGATGGTTTTTAGCTCAGGCAAAGAGGAAGTTCATGTTCTAAGCTCCAGAAATCCCAGGTTTGATTCTGCCTGTTGGTGCTATATGTGTCCCCTCTTCCCCAAAATGGCCTCTTCTGTCTAACTTGGAAAGCAAGTGAAGTGAAAGTGTGTGGTAGAAAAATTAATCCACAACACAAATAGGAGCATATCTCGCCAATTAATCTCTACTTCTGTCTTTCTTCACTGAGCAATAGAATAGCCTTATTAGGGAGTGGGATTTTTTTAGAACAATTTCCTTGGCAAAGATGAACTACACGGACAGGAGGCAGGTATCCCACTCTTCAGAATCATGGCTGTTTGTAAGAAAGTGTCTGAGACTTGGTTATTTTGATTGTCAGTTTGCTGGGAGAGAGAATTTTAGCAGAGACACATGACAGTTCTGTACTTTACTTCTCATTCAAGTTCACGTCTTTACATTAAAAGTTAAACTGCAAAGCCAAAATGAAAATTGATCTAAGCCTAGATTTTTCTGCTGAATAGCTCCACTAATCATACCGTAGGAACATTCAGGACAAGGACATTTATAAATTCTTTTCATCTGTGAAGTCCTCTTGCTACTTCTTGGTTCATTGAATATATCCCATAATGCATCATTTGTTGATCCAACAATATGAGTGTTACTTGAATCCATTGTGTTTATGATGTCATTGGATGATACACTATATGGGATAGCTGTAGTGAATTTAACGGATTCCACAGAGGAAAAATAATGTTTAAAAAGATTAGCTAAAGTGTATTTTTGTTTTGAATGTCCTCCAAAGTCTAGTTAGTGAGAACTTTCAATCCATATATAGGGGCTAAACTCTATTTTCAGTTCATCTTTTAGTGCTGAAGAGGCCAGTTAGTTCAGGAGAGAGTGCAGCTTGAATCCTGTACAATGTCCGTGTCTGTGGTGTGCGCATGTAGATCATTCCATGGGTGTGCAAGTTAGGCATGAATCCATGTAGTAATCCTCATCCTATTGTTATCAAACATAAGCAACATATACACCCTGATTTTAGTACTGAATTTCTTTTCATTTCATGCTGATCTTGTGATATTTCTCCCTCTCTTTCCTGGAAACTGCTGACTTCATATGCGATGAATTATGAAACTGAGGTTGTAGTCAACACCATTGGTTCTAAGAGTTGACATTGCATTGTTGAAAATTCCATGTAGTTTTGTCATGTCTGTCACTAGGCAACTTCCCCACATTTTGCCTCAGCAAATTTAGAGATGGGATGTCAAACAATGTCTTCATGGGCTATAAGTAAGTTTCTTAAACCTAAATGAATAATCACCACATAGTACAGTGGTCATCCATACATATTTTACAGTTTTCTTTAGATCAGGGGTGGGCAAGAGAGCCTTCGAGTTGATCTAGTCTGTGGCAACCCTGCTGCTCCCCTGCCCCAGGCCAATTGAGACGTAGAGTTGGGGGAGGGCATGAAGTCTTCTCCCTCCTGCCAGGTATGTGCAGCACCTAGAGTGAACCACCAACTATTTTGAATAGCTCGTGGTCCCCTCGAGATGCCAGGGGGCAAGGGGAAAGACTTCACATGCTCCTCCCGCCCCCCAGGCCAATCAGGGTCTGTGAGCAGGGGGAACATGGAAGTGTCTTGGCCCCGTCCCTTCTGCTTGTAGCCCTGCCCCTTCCAGGGTGGCCCAGGACCACTTCAAAAATTTAAGTGCCCCCCCCTTCTAAAATTATTGCCCACCCCTGCTTTAGATGCTAATGCTCAGAATTTGCAAGACTGCACTTACTATAGGGGAATACACTAAACAGATGAAATGTTATCTAAAGCAATTGAGGGTTTTTAATAATGTGTGCTGGATATGTGCTGCCACCTCTTCTATAAAAACAAAGTACAGTGATGGTAACAGGTTATCTACAGTACTTATCAACACACTATTAGTACTGCATTAATGCTTGGCATTATCTTTCTTCAGAGAGCTAAGTCACTAAATGGGGAATAATAGTGGCTCTTTTGTTAAATATTTTCCATAATGCATAATATGCAGCCAAGGCAAAATGCTTCACAAACCTCAGCCATCATATATTTTAAGGAGGAAAATATAATCCATTGGGGGAGAGGGTTTAATGGAGCCTGCATGAAGTTGCTATAATAAAAGGGTCTTTGATCGAATTAAACTGGTGTAATTTGTTGGCTATCCCAAAACTGCCGTTCCCACAGACACTATAGAAACACCATCATTAGTAATGTGGTGTGCAGCCATACAGAACTCATTGATTTGTAGTGAGTGGACGGGGAGGTAACCGGGAACATTTAAATGGCTATGCTCTCCACTGTCACAAATGTAGCCGTAGCCACTGGAGTCCATGCAGGTCAACACCATTGAGACAATGGAATAATATTTGGTAAGCCTGACTCTCATCAGATGATGGGTATCAGTAAAGACCCCTCTTCCTGTGTATTACAATACCCGTATTACAATGGACTTTTGGCTATCAAAGTATTGCCTGCTCAAGTGTATGATTTCCAGAGGCTTGGTTTAGAAGTGTATGTATATTATAGTTTATAGGTAAAAATAATTTGAGAAACTGAAAGCTATAAAGATGAATTTAAAAAAAAAAAACCTGTTTCTTCTAGGCTGGAACAATGTCAGAAAAACTCACAAAGGAAACTGAAGTGCTGCTAATCATTCTATTTTTGGCACTGTGAAGTTGTCACCATCACAATGGTCAATATTGAAGGATGGGTGTTGGATGGGTAAGTGCTGGGTCACCCAATGACCACATATGATACAAAGCCCATTGCTCAGGATTTCCAATGTGTAAAATCCCTAGAGACAATATGTGGTTATATAAACCTTGTCAAGTCTATAGGGCCTTTTAAATTCTCAAATAAGAAGCCTATGAAATTTATGGCACTGTTGCTAGATGTAGAGGCCAAGTAAACTCGCAATGTTGATCTTAGTTGTGTTTAAATTTCTCCTGCCTTCTGGCACTTCGGGCAGTAGTGGAAAGAAATCATTTACTCATTGTGGCATTAAGCATTTAGAAACACAGGGGTACCATGGACGAGCATTAAGAACATAATTTATGTTCCACATGTGGTCTCCAAACTGGTGGTGGGTACATTTTCTCTGAAACATTGTTCATCTATAGTGACATGGGTGGCATAGAAACCAAACATCACCCTAATGGAGCAGACAGAATGGAATAGAATGCCAATTTTCCATTTATCAAGTTTTGAACCAGGCTACCCATTTTAAAACAGGGAAAACAATTACAAAAGATTGCGTTCTTGAAGATTTTATTTCTGATGAACACACAGTTGTCTTTGCTGCATGGATGGCATTTAGAGGACTTTGTTTATCTTTATGTCTATTCTTTGTGGCTTGATTTAACATAGAATGCAGTTCTGTTGGCTGCCTCTTCCTGTATTTTTAATTCTTTTGGAAGTTTCAGGTTTAAGAAAAGAATCGAGTCAGTTTGGGATCCAGGCAGGGATTATGGTTTATAAATACAACTAGAATCCCAAATAAATAGCCAGACCAAAACAGTGTAATAACCTCTTAAAATGTCGTACACGTAGGATGGAAGCTTTAGAAACAGCAAAATGCCTAACCACCTCACACAGCACAATTGTGGTTTGAAGAAGCTTTTTTTTGTTCCTTCATGGAGCATTTCATTTCAGATGCACAGTGAAGATGGTTTAGAATGCCATAAGAACTGTGATATGTAAAAACAGTAGTGAGATGATCTACCAAGGGAAAGATAACCTTGATTTAGTACTGTACAAGATAAAATGCAGCACAGTATTTTAAATCTAGAGACAAATGAGGGACTTATTTGAAAAGTGATTTTAATGAAAAAATTGTGTGGTGTATATACACATCCTTCCTCCGAATACCCTTAATTTTCTCTGATATAAGGTTGCTTTTTTATGATTATTGATACTTGACTTTTTATTTCCCTCCTCCTATGAATCTGTGTTACCATCCTCTCTTCCTCATATACTTAAGTATTTAGAAAAAGAAAACCTTCTTAAAGATCTCTACAGAAAGAAAAATGCATCACTATATTTTTCTAGCACATACGTTATACAGTAGAATTAGACTATAAGCTATATTGGGATTCTGCTTGTTAAGAAAATGTATTAATCAAAATATTATTTTTAAAATTAACAGTTTTAGTCACTTAAATTTTGCTTGTGTCTTCAGTCAAATTAGAGTTATTTTCGTATGATTCTAATCCATCTGTTAGAATAGTTATATGCACTTTTCTCTTTTATTTTGTAATATTTCTATTTCATCATATTTTAGTTGGCGTAGCTAGATCTTGGAAACTCCTATCTGAGTGCTATATGAATTTTTAGAGCCACAGTTTTTTGGAGCACAAATTACACCTCTCTATTTCTCCAAAAATGTTCATATCATGTGTTTTACTAAAGGGCAACCTCATTTGTGGGATATAGGCTTTTTTTCTTGATAGAGTTTTAGCTGAAGGTTTTTACAAACTGAGATCTACTGTTTTTCTTTCTTTCTGTACACCTTTTAATATTAGTTAATAACATTTTCTTCAAATATCATATATAGTTACTCAAACACAGTCCAGTTTGTTACACATGATTAGGATTAAAAAGTACGATATGGATTCATTGTATTTTATATGTGTGGTTGAATGTTCTTTCAGAAAGTTCACTGCACACATCCTTTGAAGGAGAGCACTATGCCTGCAAAAATAGGCCAGCGAGACAAGAAAAAGAAGGGTTTGGAAAGGCTATGTTTATTGATCAATAAATCACAGTCACTATAAGTGACCTGCTGACTTCAAGTTCCTTAGGTCAAGGAACCCTTTGCTATTCTGCAACTTCACCTCTTTGCTGAACCTCTTAATCAAAACTGTGAAAGCTAGAAAGAACGTCAAACAATCAAGACTTGGATGATTGGATTGGTTATTTTAAATGACTAAGCCTCTGTTGGTGACAAAGAGTTTTGTGGATAGATTTCATCTTCCCAGACATTACTAAGTGGGTTCAGCATTTTGTGAAAAATGAACAAAAGTCTTTTAAAAAGAAGCAAGCATTCAAAGACAAATCACTGATTAGAAAGAAATACATAATTGAAGGCATGTACAGTTGCTGCAGGGGATAATCAGGTATGCAGTGACAACTCCTCCCTCATCAACAACATCGTTAGAGAATCACTTTTAATGACAAAATACTATAAACATATAAAGACTATGATATGTGTCCACCTTTGTTCTGATTCATCCTGAGAATTTGTACTGGTGCAAATATAAATTACTAGATGTGGCTATTTTTGAGGCAGTGTTCTATCCAGGGGTGGGCAAGAATCAGGATGTAAAATATATTGTATTAAAGATTTTCTACTGGGAAAATATCATTAAAAATAAACAGTGTGACAGATTATGATTTTCGTTACAATTTTTTGTAAATGCATTTTAGGCAACAGTAGATTTGTTTTATGCTGTGGTAAATCTGAGATGCAGATTTTGTTCCACTGGTATGACTAGTTTACTGTCACTTATTGTTGCTTAAAGCATTTTTTTAAATGAGCAAAGTCTGTAAAGATGCATTTGCTGTCTTAAATACAAATACTTAATGGGAGGGGGAAACTTGAAGTGCACTGAGAAGTAATAGGGAGCAGTAAAGTAGAAATGAGTTTGCCATGTGATTTAGCAGCATAAAAGGCTATGTTCTCTTGGGCTGCAGAGTACGATGCCATCAGAAAGGGATGGTTCAGGTGCAACTACAGCAAGCTTATTTAATACTGTGAACAGCTATACCAGAAAGATACTGGCAACTTGAAGGGAGGAAAATGTTCACAAAAAATGCCTTTTGTAGAAATGTTTCAGTTTTCACTAGCCAAAAATGAAATTTTATTAACTGAAACTTTTTGTTTAGCATCTTGCTTTTTTGACAAAACCTTTGAACATTTCAGAGCTTTTTTTTTTTTTTTTTTACAAAAATAAGAAATATCATTGTATTGAAATTTTCCAAAGGGAAAACAACCATTTCCCAACCAGCTCTTCTTTTAGTATTACTCCCAAACAAAGGAAAAGCCTCAGAGTCAGAGATTCCTACTTGCAAGCAGTGCATACTTTCAGCATATCAATTGTTTGGAAATTTAAGATAGTATCTAATTGGTTTGCCTTTCTTGTGTTATAGTTTGAACCTCTCTAGTCCGGCACTCTGGTCCAGCAACATCTGTGATCTGCATGACTTTAGTTAGCTGGATGTCCATTTATCATGGGCATAGCCAAGTTTCCCACGGTCTCATAAAGTGTTCTGTGTTGTCCTTTAGCTCTAATTTACCCCTAAAATGTCTTCTAAGAGCCCAGTAAGTAGTGGAAGTGTTGGTAATGCTGCTAGACAATACTGACATCCCATGGTTCAGCAAAATCTCTGGTTCAGCACTGGTCAGGTCCTGATAGAGAGGTTCAACCTGTAGTAAACTGATCATATTCTACTGCAGCATTTCAACTGTAATGCTGTTCAGTGCTATAGCAAACTGCTTCAGGTGGGTTTTTCCTTTCAAGTCCTCAAAAGTGTCCAGCTGCACTTGAGGGTGGGGCACATCTACAAAAGCATATGGATATTTTAAATGCAAAGGTGATGCCTTACTGTGGGGACATAGCACAGACCTGAAATGCTGAAGGGCTGGAGCAGATCTCCTTAAAGTCCTCACAATAAGGCCAGATGCTCAGTGTAGTTTCAGTTACTTCAAAAGCGTTACTCTTCTTTACACCATTTTAGAGAATCTGGCCTAGTGTGCCTCGCTCAACTATAAGGTCTGCTGGTTACACAATATAGAAAACAGGGACCACAGCTGACAATTGCTTGGATGATTTGAATGTGCATTTTTGTACCTTTTGCTATATTTTCTACGGTCATCCTTCAATTTCCCTTTTAATACTTCACTAATTCAGAAAACAACTGTTACTTGTAAGAGAGCTTAAGAAAATAATTTTGCTAAATCGCTTTACAATGAAAGCTATTGTGCTTTGCTCATCAGCGGTGTGAAATCTGCAAGCCAAATTATACTGGGCTGCCTAAAAAAATTCAGGACAAGCCTCTGCATGACCATATGAGTCATGTCCATGAAGCTCTAGATCGGCCTGGCCAACCAGTTAGAGATGAAGGGCCAAAATAGCTGTGGATAGAGTTTGAGGAGCCACATATTATATATTTATAGTACACAAAATGTAGTGATAAAAATAACATTACAGGACAGTTCAGAGAAAAAACAATAAAAAAGTCTCTAGTCACTAAAAAAATTCACAGTCAGTCCATAGATCTTCAGAGAACTTTACAAGGAACAAACATCAACATTAAAAACAAAAAAACACCTTTAAAAATACAGTAATATTCTCTCACTTAAAAAAAAGCATCCCCACCACGTATTTTAAATTTAACACTACTGCCCTATTACGTCCTGTGAGTTTTTTAAAATTAAACTGAACTGAGAAATAAATTAGCACAATTTGAAGTGCCTGTTTCACTCTAGCTTGTTGCTCTCTGGTATGGTTTCCTGTTTTATTAATTATTAGTAGTAGTATTATGTGGTATGGTTTCCTGTTTTATTAATTATTATTAGTAGTATTATTTATTATTAACTTATGAAAATTATGGCTTTATAGTTCTAAAAATTCAGGTCTGTCCCAGATTGCAAATATGAGAGGTTCAAAAACAATAAGGGAGAGACTCATATCTCAGAATACTTGCTTCAGCCTGGCAAACAATAGCCTTTGAATTTTCTTTAAAGCAATATAGTGTAAACCAGGTACATGTTGATTCTTTTTTTGCCCTGGAATTTAAATATGACCTCGGCTGCCTTATTCTGCATCCATGAAGACTTTGAGTTTAAGGTGCTTCAGACCCCCCCTCTCTAACCCAATGCTCTCCCCCTCCTGCAGAGCCAGGCACCCCCAGTCTCCCTGTTCTAACCCAATCTCCCTCTTCTCCCCCAGAGCCAGGCATTCCCAGCCCCCCCCCCAGGCCCACACTCTAACCCAATGCACTCCTCCTCCTGCAGAGCCAGGCACCCCCATCCTCTCCCCCCCTCCCCCTCCCCCGCTCTAACCCAATGCCTGGGTCCTGGAGCTGCTGCCTGCAGGCACTGGGGCGCATGCACAGAGTGGCCAGCCATGAGCAATCCGGGAGTGTGGCTCAGAACTAACAAGAGCTGCATTTCTTTCAGCAAAGAGCCGCATGCAAATTGAGAGCCGCAGGTTAGCCACCTGTGCCATAGATTACAGGAGAGAAAATGAAGTCCAGTGATCCACTGTACAACATAAACAAGGGCAAGCCTTCTCATGGGCACATGCATAGGCATATGCATTTGAAGAAACTTGTGAAAGAGAGAGTAATTGAACATGGGAGAGTGGGAGAAGGGTACCAAAGATGGTCAGAGGAAAAACTAAAAGTATATGTAATGGAGAGGCATGAAGGGCAATGACAAGGGTGAGTGAAGCCTGCTCTATAGCTTTAGCTAAGAGGCAGTTGGCTTTTGGTTCATGTGATAAAGGCACATGGCTTTAGCCCCTGAAGTTGCTGGTTCAGTCCGTTCTGCCAAGGTGTGCCTTACCTATATAATGGAGGGGAGTGGTGAGACCAGAGAGAATGAGGAGTATGAAAAGAAAGGGTGGGGAAAAAAGACTAATGGCCTAAAGATACACTACCAAAAATCAACTGCCACAGTTGCTAGTCTAAAGAGGAGGACAGCTGGGGGAAAAGCTACCATGGTACAAGTATGTCTGTAAAGAACTGCCTATGATCAACTTGGTCTGGCATGTGAAAGGGTGCTTGAGGAAGGCCTCTGAGTACAAGACTAATTACTCCACCTGGGGGAAAAAAATATGATTTGACAAAGTGACTCTCAGAAGTGAGACTTGAAGGTAAAATGCAAATATTTTGAGATCTCAGAAAACAAACCCCCGTAACTAATGCACAGATCTATGTAGTTATTCCTTTTTGTTTTTCTTCCTGCTCTAAAGTTGGTTCTACTTGTTTTTCACATCCAGTTTGTCTGCTGTATTAATTTATAATTGGTTTTGCTGTAGTGAAAGAGGCAAGCGGGACTTAAAACAACCCAGTATTAAGAGGAAGTGGGTTACCGCTTGTTTATGTCCAATAAAATAAATAGATGAAAATTATGACACAATTAAAAACAGGTTAAAAACACAAAATCAACCCCATCATTTGTTGTCATAGGGTATATCTATATTGCGCCTCCCCCCAAAAACACAATACAGTAAGTCTTAATGTTCAGTTCTACTGATTTGGGTTCATGAGGCTAGCACTATTAGGCTAATAATAGCCTCAGCCTTAAAACATAGCAATGGGTGAGGGTCTCAGGCTCCAGCCAAAACAGGAATGTCCATATCAGTATTTTTAGCCACATGGCATGAGCCCCCGAGCACCACTCACTTGATCTGGGCTCTGTTACCATGGTATTATTTCCAGTAATTATGTACCCATACAACCATCCACCGAGAACCTGTGTTCCTTTTCTCCTTAAACCAGGTCCTTTAACTGAGAAGATAATTATATGTTCTCATTTTGTCTCTTATATAGTTCAATATGCCTCATCATCAGACTGCAGTCTCCATCCACAATGCGACTGCATGTTGTGATCAGAGAGAGGGGTACCAGAATTTCTTTTGAAACCTTATGGTGTGGTTTATTGACAAGGATGTAGTCCACTAATTGATTTGAAGGTCAGTATTAAGAATGGCCAAGCGACCAAATAACCAAGCTCAGCCATATTGACTAAAGGCAAAGCAAATTGAATAGGAAGGAGTTAATACATCACCTATCCTTTGCAGGAAGCAAAGTCTGAGTGTAGTCAGTTCCTCTTACTCAGAATATGTCCCCTTAAACTAACCATCTTTTATAGGATGGGTGTTAACAAGTTACAGAGCACTGTTCACATCACTTTAAAATTTAAGTTTAACTAGCTCGCTTATGCCAGATTTGTCTTTGGTGATGCCCTGTACTTTTCTAAGTTTCATTTGAATATTAAATTCCATATGTTAAGGAGCATGAAGATACTTCCTAATACAAAGCATTTGTAACTCATATATTATTTCCTTGTACCACGTTAGTTCTTTGTTTCACAACACTCATCTGTTTAGCTCTTGACAGTTTTTATATTTGCTTAAGCCAAGTACTGAGCTATACTTGTCCCGAGGCATCATGCAATATATGTCTCATCATAAGTGAGCAAGAATAGGCATAGAACAGTTTACTGTTACCCAATACACATATGTTACATTAATACTATATACATAATATCTATTAATATGTTGTATGTATAAGACCGTGAATATACCTTGTATGTGTTGGCTAACAGTCTCCTGCTTGTCACTTTGAAGATCATATCAGGGTGATACTTCAGCCAAATTAATATATGAAGCAAAGGGAAGGGCATTCATGTGAGATTTCCACTGTTTTAGCAAACTGTGTTAAGTGGCAAGACATGATTAATGCTATTAAAAATAATACTCTTTGTAATATACACAAAACATTAAACGTGACTTCTAGCCAAGTCTCTGGGAAATTATTATTTCCAGATCACCATCATGGATAAGGTTGTCCAAAGCTTGTTCTGCTTTAAGCATGTTGTTGTTAATCTGAAAAATCTGAGTTGCTTTTTCTTTTAATAGAGTTTTAAATTTAAAGTTAGTGGATCCATATGTATATTAAAAATCGGTGCATATTTTTTTACTTCATCCTTGTGCTGGGTCTCATGTTGAATCCTGGATTTATTCTTAAAAGCAGAGATCGGGTGAGATAGGATAGTATTACTCATAACACTGTGTGCATAAGGAATAAAACACATTTGGGCTAGTAACATTAGAGACAAGGATTCCATACACAATACTGTCTAGCCATAAAAGTCACTCTTGCTGCTGGTTATCACCACTTGATACATTTCCCGGGGTAGGAGCCCATGGGCAGCCAGTGACCCAGCCACGGGGAGATTTTAGCTCCGGCCCCTCAGCTTGTGCCACTCACTCGTACAGGAGCCCAAAGTGCTGTAGCCCACAAACCCAGCACTACTCTGCTGGGGGCACAGAGACAAGCCCCAGGCCTGGTATGACATAGCTTCAGTGCCCACAGTCTGTGCTCTGAGCCCCAAGCACTAAGCAGGCAATACATCCAGTCCCGACTACCTGCACGAAGTGCACTGGCCTGGGGGTGTCATCATAATAGGTTAGTTGGGGATGCTCAGCCTCCCCTTGCCTACAATACCCACCACCCATGCTAGCCTATCAATATTGTATTCAGTGGTGACTGGTGACAGGGAAAGGAGGGGGAGCACTGGCCTCTTGTCTCGCCCCAGCTCAGGGAAAGGCCAGGAAAACTCTCTTCCACCTCAGGCCATCTTGCTCCACCTCCACCCCACCCTTGCACTACCCCCCAGGAACTGGCAGAGCTGCCGGGCCAGTGCTGGCAGTGGGCGTCTGCGCTGCACCTGCCCCTTCCCCCTCCCCTCCACACTCACTGGCAGCGGCAGGGAGAGAATGAGCTGAGCAACTGTGCCGCACTGAGTGGGACCACAGAGTGGTCCCATATACACTGGCGCTGCCTGACCTGCACCTTCCCTGCCACCACTGCTGGTGGGCCCAGGGTGAGGGGTGCAGTGCCGACTCTTGTTGCCATCACAGCCCCGTGGCCCTTTGGTCACCTTGTGACACCAGGCTGTGCCCCCTACTCCCTCCACTTGCTGGCAGCTGCGCTTGTCCCATCCCACCCCCTGGAGTGGCACGGTTGGGCAGCAGCATCACGTGGGCTGGAGCTGTCTGCCCTGCACCTTCCCCACTGCTGCTGCCAGTGAGTGCGGGGCAGGGGCACAGCACAGACTCCTGCTGCTGGCACTGGCCCTGAGGATGCTAGGTCCCCTTGCTTGCTGGCCCCTCTCACCTTGGGGGGGAGGGGGAGGGAAGGGTGCACTTTGGAGGGTGCATGTGGCCCCATGTCCACCCCTCACATCACCTATGACTGTATTAATCCATAAATGAGCCAGACAGATTCCAGTCATGTGTCGGTCAGTGGCCTGCTAAGAGAACGAGACCTTGGCACGAGCTGGCAACTAGTCGGCCAGCATCACAGCATCTACTTAAGGAGAGATTTTTTAGCTTATATAAATAAGGTAAAACATTGTATAAGCAGACCTAGAGGAACACTATAGGAGTTTCTGTAATCTATGATCTCATTGTATAAGAGCCTTCAAAAGAGGCCAAAATTAGAGCCAATATTTGTTCACTATGGAAAGGCCAAAATTAGAGCCAATATTTGTTCACGATGGAAAGACCCACACACACACACACACTCTCTCTCTCTCTCTCTCTCTCTTTTATGTGAGAATGAATCCGCAATATCGCACCAAAACAAACAGCTGAAGGTTTGAACGTGTCTGGAAATGGGGGCTTGTACTTGGGTATCATGGAAAGCCTTAACAGCACAGGGGTGCTTGAAAGTTCTATGTATTGTTCCATGTACCTGAGGGTGCTTTCATACCAACAGCGCTATGCTTGGCAGTGTGGGTCCATAGCACTCAATGTCCATAGCCACATTGTATGGCTTTATTCCAGGTGTTTAAAAGCTCCACAAAGTTATTACTGGCCTGGTACAGCTGAATTAATCATAGAGGACCACAAGGCTGCCACCTGTCCAAGGCTGGGCAATGTCTCTTCCTGACCTTACTGGTATGTCTACACTGGGGCACTATTTTGGGATACGTCCATTATTCTGCAGCCTTTAAGTAAGCAAAATATAACAGGCTCATTAGTCCAATGTCCCTGTAAACCTTGAGAATTAAGCGCCATTTTGGAATGGCAGTTTGTCAAAATTTGGTATTGTGTAGACAGCGCCAAATTCTGAAATAAGCTATGCAATTTGCATAACTCAACATGCATAGCTTATTTGGAGTTAGGGTATGTCTACACTGCACCCTTAAGTCCAATCTTCAGGACTCAGTGTACAGGGCCTTTATCTCGGAGGCCGGCTATATGGCCAAAAAGTTCCAGCTGGCTGTGACCAATGAGGACGTCAATCCTCTCAAGGCCGGTTCTCAATAATACATCCGTTTTACTGATAAAAATCAAATAGTCAAACAATCCTCTCAAGGCCAGTTCTCAATAATACATCCGTGTTACTGATAAAAATCAAATAGTCAAAAATCTCCATCGGTCACTGCTCGCAATGCATATGAAATGCCTCCAGTCTCCCACGGCCCTTGTCTATGCAACCAGACTAAAGCGTGAGAGTTGCTGTGAGCCTGACCCAACGCACATTTAACTCAAGCAAAACAACTTTAAAAGGCAACAGCGCAGCAAGCCCAGGGCTATTACAGAACAGGAGCAGGACCAGGCACCAGAGCAGATTCAAACCTACAGCGGTTGAAGTCCAAGTCTACAGCCAAGTCTCTGGGCTCCAGAGGACGTCAGAAGCCACTCTTGGTCTAACCAACATTTAATTAAACAGCTTTCACAGGCAAGAAGGAAGCAAACCCCACAGAGCCCAGGGCACATGCAGCACAACTGTTTGAAACCCCTCCAAAGTCCTTCTTAAGGCAGAGGGATGATTCAAACCCACAGCCCCAATTGGCGCAAATGGAATTCAGCTGCAGGGAAAAAAGTCCCCACGTTATGTCTTGTCACTATACATCCATGTTATTTTGAACATACCTTAGACGTATAGTGGGGACACCCTGTATCTGGGAGGGTTAGATGCTGGCTCAATTGCCTTCTTCCTGCCCGAGAAGAAATTTGAATAGGGCTCAAATTCTTGCACATGTTAGTCCTAGTCAGAGCCGGAAGGGATAGGCTAAGATGTGTTGCGCCTTGTAGTATCCTGAGGTTGTTCCATTGTTATTAAGCAGCAATTAGTCAAATCTAATCCCTGAATCCCTTTGTAGTCTGGTTGCTTAGCTAGCTGTGTGGGTGATGCAGGTTCCACGCCTTTCTCAGCTTCCTGAGAAAGGACTTGAGCAGTTGTCTCTGAAGTGACTGTCCAGCTATTGGCCTAAGAGGTGATCTCCCTGGGGGTGGGCCTGATGTTTGCTGCATCATTCTGTCCTGCTGCACCATGTGAGTCTCCCTATAGTCCAGGGGGTTGAGTGCTTGCCCCTTGAACAGTGCAAGTGTGGTTCACAAGCCCTTTATGGTCCCTGAGAAGGATTCTGTATGTTGATCTCTTACTTCTCAAATGAATGGCCTCAGTGCTTGCCTAGCAGATGATCAGAAGTGGAGGCTCCTTTAGCCGCTTCTCTTCATGACTGGCCATGTTCAGTAAATATTAAATGAGAATTGGGCCACTTAAACCTCATGACTCTTTTGTATTCCTGTACATTGGGTACCTGCAACGGAGCCCAGGAGGTGCTGGTTAAAATCCCTTTTCTGCTTGTTGAGAAATAAGCAACAATGTGATCTATTATCATCAAGTTTTAACTACATATCAGGGGTTCCCAGTCTGGGGTATCCATACCCCCAGAGGGTATGAGAAACTTGTCAAGCGGATATGGGGAATATTTGGTAAATAACTAGATTATCCTAATTGAAATATTCCAAAAGTAGTAGTGTTAGTAAAAAATGTTGTGGATTCTAGAGTCTAGAATTTATTTCCTTTCATCTTGAATAGGGGGTACGGGAAGGTTTACTAAAAGCCAAGAGGGTACAGGGATCAAAAAAGGTTGGGAACCCCTGC